TGTAGAATTGAAAAAATACATCCCCATTGAAGGGGAAAGCCAAAGCATGCAAACAGACAAATAAGGGTACAAGGTATATCTATCTCGTCACTTAATAAAGCAATAAATCTCTCAGCATGAACCAGGAATATCAGGTGAAGAAGGAAAACTAAATAGTCTTCCCCCCCCCTATGACTGGGCCATTATCATGGGAGGAGTACATTCAAAAGCTCCAAAATCTCATAACCCAAATGACTAATTGAAGAAAAGGAGTAGGAGATGGTTGATCCAAATTGGACTCATGAAAAACAGACTCAGTAAAGAAAAGTGTCAGAAAAACAGAGTCCAAATTTTCCCCCAAATAACTAGGATCCACAAAAAAAGGCATCTCCAGAGGGCCCAGGAGAAAAATTCCCCTGGGCCGAATGTATGTTTCTCTCTCCCAAAAAATAAAATCACAGACATCCTAAACTGAGAGTGACCCCCCCCCCCCCAAGACCATAGAGATGCTAGATAATAAAGGTTGGATTAACTGCCATGCTGAAAATGGTAGTAATATGGGAATTCATACCTGCAAACATCAAGTCCTGTTTTTTTTAAATGAAATTATAATTATACCAAAATTTACAAGGCAACGCAAAAAATCTGAATCCATAACGGAATGAACCACAGCACTTCATCAGACCATGACCAACACTTTTGTGATTACATTATCTGAGTGAGGTGTTTATATAAACAATGTTAGGATAGAGAATGCTTTGAAGCAGGTGGAGGGATTTGCAAATTAGATATTGCCAAGGGCATTTAAGTGGGGTATAAAAGACTGGAGCATGTGAGACCAATGTTGAGGAATAGTGTCAGCGGAGGTAAGTATGTTTTGGAATTCATACTTATAGTTTATCAATATTTGAAACAATGAAAACATGACAACAATACCTATCATTAAATCTTGTAACTTTGATGATCAATAGTGAAAGTGTTCCATGACATTGTCATGTAATTATTTCAATTACTGTATTAATCTAACAATTTAGTTATTTTGTGGAAAAAGGGATGATTTGGTAACCCAATCTATGATGCTCTTCCACATATAAAAGTGCTGACTCTTTATTAGACAAAAATCTAAGAGATAAATACATTCAGAAATTTGTTTTATTTATTTTATTGTTTTACTATAAATAATCATTACTCTATATAACAGAATATATGAAAATAAACCAAAAAACAAAAAAAAACTGGCCTGATGATGGCATGCAGATTCTGGATGTACAGGTTGACTATCACTAATCCGGCATCATCGGGACCTGGAGGGTGCCGGATTAGCCATCTATTAGGTTAGAATACACCAAACCCACTAGCTAACCACCTCATCTTAAAATTGAAATATCCCATAAAACGGGGTTTTCTTTAAGTTTTAATCAAAGAAAATATTGGAAAGAAAACTTTCAAGCGAGACTAAAGTATTGACCTAATAGCGCGTATCTTGCTTTACTGCATTTGAAATTATTCTAGCCGAAATTAGTGCCGGATTACTGATTGCTGGACTAGTGATGGTCAACCTGTATTATGTGTGATGACTTAGATTATAGTGAATTACTATTGTTCATATTACTTCTAAACAAATTAAAAAAACGTTTGGTGTGTAGTGGCATAAATGCAAGTGCTTTACTGTTATTCATTTTCTTTGTTTTTAAGAACAAAGCTACACATTGACCTATCAGATGTGTGTCAACCACAGTTAAAAAAAACCCAAGACTTGGCATTATCAGCTCTCAAGCTTACAGCTGAATCACATGGCCACTGCCAGTTATATTAACCATATTGCAAAGGGTATCCTTTACTGTACATGACACAAAGTTTGTCTTACACTCAAAATTTTATAAAACTACTTTTGTTTAAGTTATATGAATAGTATAGCATAAAATCTTAGCTAATAATCCATATTTTAGTAGTATATAAGTTTTAAGTTCTTAATTCTATAAGTAAATATCTTAAAAAATCCTGAATTTCCCCTAGTGTGACACATTTTCTCTAGGCATCTTCCTTTTTCTATTTTATCCAGTAACTACAAAATTAAACAAATTACTCACTATAAGATTGTCATTGCTCAGACAAACCATAATTCTTATAGCCTTCAATTTTATTTGGTTACAGAGCCATCAAATAGAAAATCAGACCCCCTCTTGCCACATCCACTCTCTCAGGATTTGTTAATAGTTCTCTCGTATGTTTAATTACAGCTTACCTATACCTAATAGAAAGCAAAGGTTTTCATCTATCAAATGATGTATTGTATAGCATAGTTCTGAACAGATAAGTGTCAATTTCACTTATAATACACTGTTCATTCCCATGGGAAAGTTAATGACTAGCTTGGATGAATTTGTAACAGTTCTTGTCAAGCAGTTAGAAGGCTAGAAAAATTTTGCGATTTAAGTGACATTGTTCCCATGTTTAGCATGTTATTAGTCTATGTTCTTTGGTGCATTATTTGATTACATAAAAATTATTTAGTGCATTACTACCATTAGTATAAGAAAGTAGGGATAAGTGTCATCGACAATTGACAGCAAGAAAAAATATTGGGTAAGTACTTTATTATTGTTTATCATGCTTATTCTTTATTTATTATTATAAAAGTAACTAAAATGTAAAAATTGGAATCTATTTACGTTAGTTAAGGTTAGATTACGTAAAATAAACAATAATAATAATGTAATAAAAATAGTAGCTGTGGGTAATGTAATTCGATAGCATAATGTGAGCTGCACATTCCCCAAGTGATTTACAACTTATAATGGTGCAAACAGTAGTTAGATGTGGTTCAAAGGGCAATAAAACAATAAACTTCAATTATAAATAGATGTATATTGTTAAAAGTTTAAAGCTACTTAGGATAAATGAATGTAGTTTCATGCCACATTTTAAGTCATTCTAGAAAGAAAAAGAGGGTAATTTAGATTTATTTAATTTTTTTTGTGGTTATGAGGTCGGTCAAACTGACCAGCCTTGTATAGAGTTAGGGTAGAGAAAATATCATATACATTATAAAGTTTTACTGAAAAGAAACATTTGAAATGCATTTAGGAGGTTTTAGGGGATTACACAAATGAAATTTGAGATTTTTGAATTGAAGAAAACTATTTTTAATCTTAACATGAAAATCACTTTGCAGACAGACTATTCAAAACAAATACTTGATATATCCAAGGACAAAACTATTTTTAGTTCATTAAAAATACTTCACTAAAAATGATTTTTTGTATGTGAAGGACTTATAATGTTTACTGAAAGACTAAAATTTTGTGAAGATATATACACTATATTAAAAGTTTATAGTATCACATCTATAGAGATTTTGAATGAGTACAAAGAGGTCATGTGGTCGGTCAAATTGACAGAGCCTGTGTTGAGAGAGTTCAATCTAAAGACAATGCAATGACAACAGAAACAAGGTTTACAAATTCGAGATTCTCAGCTACAACTAAGCAAAAACACTGTTGAACTGTACATGTTACAATACAAACATGTTTCAGATTGATGCATCGTGATTTATATTTAAAGTTATACTAAAGTTTTGTAGTCTAACAATAATGCTTTTAATAGTCTAGCAAACACTCCACTGTAGGTATCCTTTTGAAGATTAATACACACAAAGTCTAAAATAAAAAGAAAATCCAAGCACGTATTAGGTCATCAAGAAGTTAATGTCACATTTTGGAACACTTTCATTAACCACTCCCAAAAAAAACGTACATCATGTATATTAGTTAAATGAACCACCTAAATATCATGTTAGTGTAGCTTATATAATGTGCAAAGTTTAGTATACTCTAAACCCTTATGGTGATGGCACATGATGACACACACATTTGGCATGTAATGCTGTTTGAATACAAGAAGAGAAACAATGCCTCTGTAGTCACAAAGAATATAAAAGAAGTTTATGGAAATGTTCGTAAGTGTCAACAATGGTTCAGCAAATTTCATTCAGGTGATTTTAGTCTTAAAAACTGTGATGGCAAGGCTAACATGTTGGAATTGATATTGATGCTCTCAAGACACTTGTTTTATCTAATCTAATGCAACACACACTCGTGAAATGGCCATGAAATTGCGTGTCTCTCATG